TTTGGTGTTTATTACTGTCTGCAAGGTAAAGACTATCCTCACACAGTGATACATTGACAAATGTAAGTATCTGTGTTTGGAATAACTGAGTTGTCATGTTTTAGTGTCAGGGGAGAAGTGCAGCAGATGCTGAGTGTGTATAAGAGGAAGAAGTTGAAGGACTCAGAAGAGGTGGCAGCTAGGCCTCAGAACAAGGGAGCGCCTTTCGTCAGCCTTAGAGCCTATTTGTTAGATCCTACATTCTAGGTATAACAAAAGCAGCAAAAGAAAGAAGACGGGTCAAATGTTTCTAAACCAGTCAGAGACACAAGAGGAGAGCTAAAGGGCAAGCTGCTCTTGTGCACATGCAGTTATTTTACACATTAATCAAAGCCACAAAACCGAGGCTGAAGTTGACACACAGAACCCAGTATTCTGAATTACAAAAAACTCTTGGAACCAGAGAGGTAGCTCAGTGAACAAAGGAACTTGCCACCAAGCCTGATGATCTGTGTTTGGTCCCCAGGATCCATTTGCTGCAAGGAAGAAAATAACTCCCACAAGTCGTCCTCTGACCTTCACTCCTGGTGCAGTGACATTTGCACAAGGCACACATGTGAGTATAGGCATGCATCAAAGAAATAAACATGAAAAAATTGTTCTTCTTGTTATATTTTTGCCTGGTCAATTGGCAGTATATTTGTTGAAAGAAAATATGTGATGTATTTAAATACTGTTTCCCTCTCCTCCCCATTTGTCTCACTTTCTCTGATAATAGCATTCTCAAGCATTGAGAAGGCAGAGAAAGCAATGATAGTATCCTCTAGGAAGTACTAGAGGATCATCGTTAAACTGGTCACTTCAAATTTTGGGGTACATCTTGTTAAATGTAGAGGGAAAGGCCTTATATGAATAAGACTCCCTCCCAGCAGGTCCCTATATAATGGGAATTATCTGAGTTCAAAAGTTGGATTCAAAAATAAAACATTAAGCCTGGAAATGTTATAGAACATCAGATGTATACTCTGTTCAGTTTAACTACATAAATGATAATGAAAAAGTAAGCCAAAACAATACTAGAGTTTCATGGTATAGACACAGCATCTCAATGGGTTCTGGGAGGAGGGGAGAAGAGTGGTCAGACTGACAAAGGAGACTGAGAATCTTTGACTTGGGGCTGAAGTGATTGGGTCTGCACTGGCGTCACACACCAGCCAAAAAATAATTTTTTTTTTTTTTAAAAAAAGAAGTACAAAAACCATGGCTCGGTTTTGAAGCCCTTCTGATGGTACCCTAGATATCTGGGCCATAACTATAGAGGATAAAGCAAATCTGCAGTTCTATAGTTTAAATCTCATATCTGGATATTTAGTAATTTGTGAATAAGAACTACTTTCCTTCAAACTGCTGTTGCATTAATGTGTCTTACCAGAGATAGCGAAAATACTCC